TGACTCTTAAAAAATAACTTCCTAGAGCCAGTATGGTGGTCCATGTCTATAATCTCATTAATAAGAAGATGGAAGCAGGGGGACAGTGAGATTCTGACCAACCTGGGATATGAAATGAGACCCCACCACCACCACAACAACAACAACAAAAGCAAAGAAACCCACTCAGCAAAGTTCTCAGAAAGTACCTATTTTAGTAAAGCCAAGAACTTGATTGCAAATTGGCTGATGGGCAGCCTCTCCTCAGCTCGCTTCACCTCTCCAAATCCCTCAGCAGCCTCCTCACCTTCCATGCTGATCATGTTTAGTTCCTGATCTTGGCCACTGAGGGATAGCTCTTATGCATCGCCTTGTGTCACATGAACCTCGCCCCCCAAACTCCCCCCCTCCCCGCCACCATGTTGCCATCCAGCCTTCTACTTGCAGTCAGGCACTTTATAAACACTATCTTCTCTCTGGGGACAGGTGACAGTCCTTGTTCCTTTCTGGGTTCTCATGGCTGACACCTGCACAACCAGCATGCACATCACTGTGCAGTGAGGGGCAGCAGGGCTCCCCTTCCCTCATTGGGTTCTGAGTCTGAGAATCTGGATAAACAGCACTCGCAGAAGATGCACAGCTCTGCAGCCTCAACTCTGTCTCTGTTTGTCCTCTCTCTCTCTTTCTCTCTCTCCCTTCCTTTCTTTCCTTCTTTCTTTCTCTTTCTTTTTTCTAGAATGGCATAGGGCCTTTTGATATGGATTATAGGAAGACCATAGGTTTTTTGTTTTGCTTTTTTTTTTTTTAATGCCCCAAAAGATCAGCCCCATCCAAGTGTGAGAAAACTGAACTGCACTGGTTCACATTAAAAAGCTGCAATCTGCTGGTCATATTTAGTCAAGAAATAAAGAAGACAAGGTCCCAGCACAGAGAAGGAAAAGTGTGTACAAAGTCCCACCTTTAACCAAGAAGCTGTTTGCAATTGGTGCATGCTGGGAAAGGGAAAATCTGTTTTCCCCAGTGGAGGATCATGGGTCTATGAACTACATTCCAGGGCAGGCCCCATGCCCAGGACTAGCTGACCACCACGAAACAGACTGTTTTGGTGTGGGGGGAGTTTATTTTTGGTTTCATTTTGTTATTTTTGTTCATTTTGACTTATTTTTATGCTTCCTGAGAGAGAGACAGAGACAGAGAGACAGAGAGAGAGAACACTTGAAGTTGGTGGGGGAGCGGGTAAGTAGGTGGGGAGGACCTGGAAAGAAATAGGGGAGAGAAAAGAATATAAGCAAAATATACTATAAACAAAAAACGAACAAACAAAAAGAAAGAAGAAAACAATCTACCAGTAATAAAATCACTAGCATGTACTTTGGTCAGTTCAGTTTGGCAAAGCCTCTTTGATATCAATTATTTAAAGCATTTTATCTTGTTCTGGGTAATGGGGTGCTGTGCACATTGCAAAAGTAATGAAGTCTTAAATAGAAACCAAAAAACCTCACAGCCACACTAATGTTCAGGAGCAAAATAAGTCAGGTACTGTTCTTTCTTTAAAAATCATCAACTGAGAGATTATTAATCTTTCTGTTACATCTTCATCAGGAGAGACGGAAATTGGAAGAGATGTGAAAATGAGCCCCAAGTCCCCCACTTCCAGCTCCTGGGACTCACTTGTTGTCATGGTAACTGTGTTACCCTGTGAGCATCCGGCATAGGCAGAACTCACAATGAGCATCTAGGCATGCTCACAGCATTCTTCTTGGTAATAATTTTCAGTGATGTCTTTCTTTCAAACAGTGGCCTGGATGATACATATATTGGGAGGGTAATTCATAAGCAATCTAATTGGGACACGATTCTCCCTCACCTTCTTTCTCTCTCTCTCTCTCTCTCTCTCTCTCTCTCTCTCTCTCTCTCTCTCTCTCTCTCTCTCTCTCTCTCTGTTTTGTTTTTCGAGTCCTGGAACTCACTCTGTAGACCAGGCTGCCTCTGCCTCTCAAGTGCTGGGATTAAAGGCGTGCGCCACCACCGCCCGGCTCCCTCACCTTCTCTAACTACTCATTCAGGTGATAGGGAAACATTTGAATTGGAGTATCCATAGTATGGGCCAGCAAAATACAGTCCACAAGACAAATCTACACTCTCTCGTTTGTGCACCCTGTGAGTTAGGACTTGTCTTTATAATTTAGTGGTTGCAAAAAATAAACTCATGGGCAGAGCTCTTGTCTTAATATTCTCAGGCCCTGCATTCAATCATCAGCACCATAAAAAGAAAAAAAAATAAAACAAAGAAAGAACAATCTCTGAGAGGCCTGAAAATTATACAAAATTAACATTATCATCCTCAAAATGATGTCATTTGGAGTTATGGCCATGTATGATTATTAACACACTACCCATGGTTCCTTTTGTGTTATAACACCAGAGTTGAGTGATTGTAACAGAAACTGTAGGCTTACAAAGCCTAAAAACATTTCCTACATATTCCATTACCCACAGACATGGATGTATGGAAGCAAGCTAGACCAGGGGGTGAAGCATTTCTTCCTTGCCACAGAATCTGTCTCAGGCACTGAGGATAGAGATCCAAGCCTTTCCTGGTCAGCATCCGTGGCCCCATCTAGTACTGCAAATAGTATTGCTGTGGAGGCCACCGAAATACCATCTGTTTGAGTGTTGTGTTCCCCCAAAATACACAATGAAATTAACTCCAATGCCACCATTGGAAGAACTGGAGCCGTTTGGGATCCTATCAGGTTATAGAAATTCAACTGTCATGATGAAGTTTATCAAGTTGATAAAATGGTTGGAGGGAACTGGCTAGGACCTGTTCCCCCTTTCCCCGTCTGTCCCTTCTGCCACATGAGTACACTGCACTTGAGGTGCCCTCTGGGAAGCAGAAGCTGACCCCTCACCAGACACTAAACATGCTAGTGTCTCAGATTTCCACCCCTCATAATAAACTGATGTGTTTACAAATTACCCAGTTTCAGGTACTCTTCTATAGAAACACAAAATGTCTAAGATAGAATTTGTTTCCTGCAAGTATCATGTAGCAAATACCTAAACATGTGGATGTGGCTTTGGGACGGGACAACAGGTAGAGAGAGGCTAGACTGTAAAGTGCTATTCTGAAGAAGAAGAAGAAGAAGAAGAAGAAGAAGAAGAAGAAGAAGAAGAAGAAGAAGAAGAAGAAGAAGAAGAAGAAGGAAGAGGAGGAAGAGGAAGAAGAGGAGAAAGAGGAGGAGGAGGAGGAGGACCGGAGAGCCTCGGGCTCTCCTCTCAGAGCTTGTCTAAGTGTCTAAGTGGTCATGAACAAGAAAAATACTGAGTGAGAGATGGATAAAGAGAGCTGCTCTGATGCCAAGCCAGAAGGAAGCTTTCCTAGAAACTGGAGGAAAAGCTATCCTCACCATAAAGTGGTGAAACACTCAGCTGAATCCTGTCCACATTGAAGTTCATTAGAAGACATTTTGCTGATGATAAACAAGCATATTTGGAAGAAGAAAACTCTAGACAAAGTGCACAGACTGAGGCATGCTTCCTCGTGACTGCTTATAGGAACATGTAAGAAGAGGAAGTGAGTTTAAAATGATCTTTCTCACTGTGATTGTATAAACAACACAAAAGCATGTTTGGGAGTGAATACCAATTGTATATTCAAACAAGTGTTTGGTAAGGTTTGTTTGAATGTGACAAAGCTGAATATTACTCACCACAACAATGGAAGAATGATCCCCGGGTCACCGGAGAGCTCCTCCAAGGTATGTCCCCACCACAGAGTACAGGGCCTTGAGGGGATAACAGTTTCATAGGAGAAGCCTCGGATCTCATGCAACTTCTGGCTTACTGCCTAGTACTAAGTCAAGTTTCTGATTCATGTGTTTGGGCAGAATGTTTCTTGGCTCAAGTGGATTTAGTTGTAGCTTAGACGACTGCTCTGGTAGGGACATGCTGTAACCTCTGGCAGGGTCTGTGCAATGCTAACTCTTCAGGTACATAAAGTATAAGATCTATGAAAAGGAGACATAGCTACCTAGATTCAGTACATACAGGAGAGGCTAGAAGTGCAGGCAGAGAATTGTCTCAGGTGCAGGGCTACTACAGATGGCTTCTGAGAAAGCAGCATCGAGTAGAACTGTGGGACTAAGGGCACTCCTGTAGAGTTTCCAGTCTGGGAAAGATGGAGATGAGACCCCAGCTTCTGAGAGTAGCATGGGGCTTGCCAACCTGCTGTGTCTTAAAGATGGGATATGGAGCTATAGATTATTCTTAAACCTCGAGATTTACTTTTATGGGACCGGGAAAACAGTTCAGCTAGGGAGCATAGATGACTTTTTGAGCATGAGGGCCTTAAAACCCAGCACTGGGGAGGTGGAGACAGGGAGATTCTGAGACTCATTGTCTAAGCAGCTTCACCCAGCTAGTGAGCTGCAGGCCAGTGAGATCCCTACCTCAAAAAATATAGTTGATGGGGCTTGAGGAACACACACACACACACACACACACACACACACATACTTTTTGGGTTTGGTGGGTTTGAGATTTACTTGGGGCAAGTTACCTGTCTTCTTTGGCATTCCTTCTTTTGGGAAAGTCTAACATAGGCCTGATGCCCACTGGTTCGCAGACACTTAACACCTCTACTTTCACAGTGCCACAGCTGGAGAGGATAGTGCCTTAGAGGTTCCTCCTGGTAAATGAGACTAAGGTCTTTATAAAGGGTGTTCTGCATAGTGCCTCCGCCTTTCTGCCAATCACCATGAGAGAATGAAGTGACAAGGTACCATCTTGGAAGTAGAGATATCCAGTTATCACCAGACAAGGAACTTGTGCCACTGTGACCTTTGTCTTCCCAATCCCCACAGTTATGAGAAATGGCTTTTTACTGTTTATAAATTACCCAATTATCAGGCAATTAGTTATAACACCTAAGGGAACTAAGGTAAGATCACATGATCGGATCAAATGGTTGGCCGGTGCTCTAGCACCGTTTTGGAGGCAGGCGGCATGCTACTTACTCCTTCATGCGCTTCATCTTGGTCCGAGCCACTGCACTGTTGAAAACCGTTGGTCCAGGAGACACATCTGCCACTGCATTGGTAATGGTCTTTGTGTCTGAAAAAAAAAATCAATGCATATCCTTTATCGACTTCATCAGCGTTCCTATATACCCAAGGTGACACTCAAGGGCAATCAGAGAAGAAAAGCTAATCCACCCTTACCACAGGTAATGCTATATTAATTAGAGATGAATTCAATTATCACATGCCCATTAATAAGATTTATTCCAAATGGTATGAGTTTTTATGGTTTTGAGATGCACAATGATTTCAACAATGAAACCTCTCTCAGAAAAGACTGTTTAAAGCCAGTCTTGGTATTTTAAAATGAGTTTTTACATTAGACAACTGTATTGATCTGTACAGCCAAAATTCTGGGGCGCTTTGGGCCAGTTTCTCTTAACAGGTATGATATTCGTTTAACTAACAGGGATGTCTACTGAGAACAGCGCCTCTCCCAGCATCTCAGCCCCACACTTGGCCGTTAGCTCTTTGTAAAGAAAAGCTGAGTGCTGATGCGTGCATCCAGCAGTATGGAGGAGAAGGTCAGAGCTGGCAAAAAGGTGACGAGCTCTTAGGAAAGGCAAGACAGTATGGATTGTGCTGGGACACTTCTTCCTCAGAGACCCCAGAGGCCCTTACAGAACACTTTAGAATTGGGAGAGCCTGGGACAGTATGACTTCTCATTAAGAAACTGAACTCAGGAACTGGATAGATGGCTTAGTGATGCAGACCACTAACTACTCTTAGATTATGCCCAATTCCCAGAATCCACATGGGAACTCATAACTGCGTGTAACTCCAGTTCCAGGGAATCAAACACCCTCTTTTGGCATCTGTGGGCACGCAGGCATAAAAGTAGTATACACACATCCATGTAGGCAAAATGCCCAGACACATAGAAAGAAAGAAAGAAAGAAAGAAAGAAAGAAAGAAAGAAAGAAAGAAAGAAAGAAAGAGAGAGAGAGAGAGAGAGAGAGAGAGAGAGAGAAAGGAAGGAAGGAAGGAAGGAAGGAAGGAAGGAAGGAAGGAAGGAAGGAAGAAGGAAGGAAGGAAGAAGGAAGGCAGGCAGAAAAGTTTAGAAGCTGAACCAGGGTCACTGGTGAGAGTTCTGTGCTTCCACAGAGTGGGGCTCCACAGTCAGTCCCACTGCCTTCTCTTCATGGAGCTGGGGGGAAATTCTGTTTCCCCAGGAAGATCTCCATGATGCTGCTCGTCCATTGGGAAAGCTCTGTGTGCACATACTCAGTTACCAGTTACATCCATGTAAAGACCTAAGCTGTGAAATTTCTGTTCTTTCCTCAGAGAATCAGGTAAATATGACTGATTCAGGGGCCACTTAAGGAAGCAAGAACCAATTGCTGCTTTAAATAGTAGCAAGACTATTTTCCTTCATATTTTAAAATGTAAAAAAGAAATTAAATGCAGATTCTAGCTTCTTTCCATATATATCTTTCTTTTGGGTAGACCCCAAGGGCATGGATTCTGCTCTGAACTTCTTGATTTTATAGATTTTTGTTGAGATGACATTTATCTTGCATAACTTTTTGAGGCCCCGCTTTTTCCCCAGGGTAGATCCCTGGATATGGGATTATTGGATCTCCAGGCATGAACTTTTGAAGGGGGCACATCCGAATTAGTGAACTAGCCTATCTGTCCTCTTGGTACCTGACCGTGTGGCTTCATGTTATAGACACAAGTGATGCCAACTGATTGTTGCCCATCTCTTCTTCCTATGCCCCAGCAGCTTCCTGTCAGCCCTCATCTTCCCATTAGCCCTGGACAGGACAGACATTTGTCCCTAGGCAAAGCTTGGAATAAGAAAGATGAAGACTTGCGGGTGGAGTTCACTTCACAAAAGTGTATGTCTTGCCTGAATCTGAAAAGTCACCAAACGTATCACCAGTATGTTTCAGGTGAGATTAAAAACTCAGTTCTGCCAAGACTGAGAGGTAAGCTGCTTCCCCTCTCTGGGGAGGGCTGGCAAGTCCTGGAGGCTTATGTAGCTAAAGGTCAAAGCAATTTCCAGGAGTGCCATGGGTTATTTTAAGCTGATCACTCTCAGCATTGCTGGAAAAGATGTTAGCCCTCAAGTCCAGAGGTAGAAAAGGGGGCAAAATGACTTCAGGCTACAGGGCTGGCAAAGCTTGGTGCTCAGTAAGTAAATCCCTCTCCATGCTTCTCACTGGGAAGCCTTTTCACCCTCTCCATCCCTCTCTCTGACGGGAACAGTGCTGGCTTTATGTCAAATAGAAAGATGACACATTTAACAATAATGGTGGAAATAATCTAGCTATCTTCTAAGTAGTCACTGAATCCCAAATGCTAATTGGGTGTGACTTGCCCAGTGTTCCTGTTTAGAATACAAGTTTATATGAAATAGGTCTGGAAGGAGTTGGGGTTTCATATTTCCATTAAGTGTCTATTGGTCATGAGAGTGCAGTGAATGGTAAGATTTTCAGACCAAACTACATGGCATAGGACCAGGGTGACTGACAATGCAAGACTCACTCAGAAGGCAAGCTGGACCAGAGTTCTTCCTTCTCCAGTACTCTTTGGGCTGATCGTGGCACCTGACTTATTTTTCTTGTTAAATTTTACTCTTTTTAACTAAATTGTCAGTGTCCCCTTTCCCTGGAATTAGTGACATTCAGAGAGGTCTGAGAGTCCCTCTAGTTCCTGACTCTGCCCTTCCCACACCCAAGCCCTCTGAAGATGGTGACAGTGACCACAGGGCTGGGTTCAGGGCATGGGTGGCGGCAGATCTATTGTCCTAGAAAAGTGAACAGAGGGGAGATAGCACTTAAGCAAGACTTTTTTTTTAAGACTCTGGCATCCAAAGAAAAAAAATGTCATTAAACCTGAATGTATGGCTCACACCTAAACCTTGGATTCCATGTAGCTGCATGACACACTTGAGCACACGCGCGCGCGCACACACACACACACACACACACACACGACCCCTAATCCTGAATTTCTTTCTTAAAGTTTTTTTTAATGGAAGAAATTTTATTTCTATGCTGTTAAATTAATTTTCTCCTAACAGAGAAAGTATTCAAGAGCAGTATCATGCATATAGAAAATATCCGAGTGTTAGATGCAGTTGCAACATTAAGAACCCCTTAGGATAGCTCGAACCTGTGTCTCCTCCCAAGGGTCTCTCAGCATTGTGCAGGAATCACACCTCGCCCTTCCTTCAGACTGACTGGTTTGGTTTTGCCTTCCTTCATTTTCCTAAACTACAAGGTCTGTGTATAATGCACATGATGCTGTAAGGCATGGGGGATTCGGAGCAGCATAGTGACGGTCATGGCCAAACCATCCACACACAGGGCCTGCAGTTGCTGTTCTAGATCCACTCACTGGCTACTTAGCCCCAGGCTACCTCCCCGATCCTCAGCGCCCTAATTTTATACTTAAGTGACTTCGCCAGCTGAGCACCTTCACTCAAGTCTGTGAACAGGTGTAAGACTTAAGTACTGGACATACAGAGTGTATTACGGAAGAGACTATCCAATGCTAAGGCAGATAATGAGCTGGAGCTGGAACCAGGTGCATAGGGACAAATGGCCGGAGCTAACAAGTGTCCTGAGCATTACCTAATTGCAGGCAAAAGCACTGCAGTCAGTCTCCTTGCTTTCCTGTGAAATACAAAATATTGAGGCTTATGATGCTCGACACACCCCATGGAGATGTTTTGACAACGAGCTGCAAACACAAAGATAGGACAGGACGACGCATGAGCCTGCAGAAGCTGTGCTCGCAAAGCTCGGCTCCTGACAAGATTATCAGGATCCCTCCCACCCTGGAGGGGCTCTCCCTACAGGGCCATCGGGCTATCTTCCCTGTAGAGATGGCATCTTGATGGTGCTGACAGTTTACCAGAAGAGAGATCTCCCTTCTTCCTTCTGAGATTTCCCTTTACTCATTTGGGATGTAGGTGCCAACCAGGAGCCTATGCTTGGAGGTCTCCTCCTCCACTAAACTTCCAGCCATGTGGGCAGCAAAGAGCTGATGCAGGCACTGCAGGCATGGGTATTTTGGTGGAGACCTCAGGGACAGTGCTTACTCAGGAATCTTTGCAGAGAGAATACATTGCCTTTGGTGTTCTGCTCTCTTTGAACACTTCTTAACCCTCTCTGCTTTCTCTGAAGTTCCCAAGGCATATCCAGAACTTAGCAGCTGTTTGACAGGTATCAGCTTTGTCCAGATGACTGTAAAACCGTGTCCTCCTCATGGCTCTTATCTCTTTTTCTCTTTGAAATGGGAAATGATGGGATGTTAATGGACTTTTTTTTTCTTTAGAGAGACAGGGAGTCACCATTTCAGTATTTGCAGGCCATACAATCTCCATCATATCCATCCAACTCTCCTGTCCTCGCATGAACACGACCCTGGGTACAAGAATAAGAATGGACTTGGCTCTGTTCTAGGGAAATGTTATTTACAAGAACAGGCAGTGAGCTCAGTTTGGCCTGCTGGCCACAGTTTGCTGACCCCTGACCCCAGTGATGGAAGAATCATTATGGGTGTGCACTGGAGGTGGCTATAGAACATCTCAAGACAAACGCTTCATTTTCCCAATGGAGAGACTGAGGTAAGGGGAAACTGTGAGACTTGCCTGAAGTTGCAGAGTCAGAAGGAGAAGACTCTGAGCTTGAGCCAGGACTGTAGAATGTCTCAAAAGAGAACTCCTTTTCATACACCGCATATGTGATTTAAACAAAATCAGACAAGGACCCTCCGCCGCCGAAGGCTGAAATGTGGGTGAGACATTTTATTTGCCACCTCACCTCTGCCCTCCCTGGTCACAAGCCAAGAGCTTATTTCAAGAAGGCCCGTGTATCAGCAGGGGCCCCATTAAAGCTGTTCTCTCCTGAGAGGATTAGCTGACTCAACCTTTCAGAGTTTGTTTGTTTTTTTTCCCTTGAGTTTTTCCTGTGCTGATGGTGAATTTAGGGTAGCAATAGAATTGCCTAAAATTGGCAAAGCAGGCTGCTGCTTATCTTTGCTATGTTACCCTAAGGAGGAAATACATTATTCAGATCTAC